TGGAGCGGACGAACGGGACGAGGGACTGACAGCAATCGTATATGTAGAGTGGGATGGGAATATCTGTTTAATAAATGAAAACATTTATTAAGTGAACTAACCAGTCATCCGGTTGTGATCCTGATGACCGCTGGAGGACAATTCTCTAACTATGTACACATCTACTCCGGAAAATGAGGCCGCCCTCACCGCCCGGGCACGGTCCAATGCGGGTCGATCGGTGCCCCTCCAATCACGCAGCCCTCATAACCGTGCACGGCGGACCGGCCCTGACCTGGGCCACTTCAATCTGCGACGCGCCCGTGCCGATGTCGACCCCACCCGGTTAGTATTGGTCCGTATCGAACGACCGTAAGGCACACCGGCGAGCGCCTGTTGGCGGCCGGTCGGCGCACTATCTTCGCTACCGACCTCCCTGCAGTGGCGGCGGATTCGATTTTGGCGTGGGGGGGCAAGATCCCAGTCGAGATGATGTCATAGGCGGATCCAGAAAGGCGTTTTCGACGCTGTAGGGGACATAACCCCCCCCCCCCCCCCAAGTGTCCAAAATCCAAAAACTCCTCGGATTTCGATTCTTTTACTGCTGAACAGTATAAAGCAAAAAACATTCTGATAAAAGTTTTATTATTAGGAAACATAAGGTACGTTTTGTCTATTTCGGGCGATGCAAGGGGAAGGGGAGTAAATATTTGCTTTATATGCCCGCTCCCTGGATCTACCAGTGGACGATGTAACGATTTTCGTATTGCTGTACCTACCTTTTAGAAAAAAGCTCCAATGGGAAAAATTGTGCCATAGCCCATAACCCGATCGCAAATCAGATTTGAAGAACGGTGCCAAACCTTTTGAAGTAGGCGAGCGCTATTCTTCAATGAGGTAACTCGTTACCACTTTTCCTCTGTTCACTTTACGTTCGATTTCCGTTTAACCTTCCTAAGTATTTCTGAGACAGATATCAACTGAAACTAGCTAACAGCGGGAGGAGACCGCACAAACATTCAGAGACAGTCGGTCGCATCTAAACCTATTGGGACAGCAATCCGCCAGAAACCCACCCCAAGGCAGTAGTTAGCCAATTAAGCTCATCGAGACGGGCTGTCTCGATGGGTTTATCCTACAGTAAGCCCACAGCAAGGCTTAACTAAGGCCCAAACGCTCGTCAAGCTGGGAACGGAGGGCTGAGGTGAGGAAGTCGAGCGGTGGACTAGGGTGAAGGAATTCGTTGGACTGGATGCAGAAGCTCGGGGAGGGGGAGGAGCGTTTCTTTATTAGGACTTTAGGGTGCGCTGACTGCGGCAAGGTCCAAATTATCACACCAAATTTTGCCACGACATCTACCGGTTCAGGCACTCGAGAATCAGCGGCCAGTGATATCTGCAAAGACGAAGCATTTCCAACCCAGCTTCAGCCTAGTGTGGGCGCCTCAGGTGGCTTTAATTACAGTTGCACATACCAAACGACCTCAGTGCAGACAGTCTGTCGCCGAAACCATTCGGAACAGACTTCAACGAAAAGTGAGACAAGGTTAGTGCTATCGTTAAGTGCCATTATAGACTTGGACCCCGTTGGCTTGACCCACTGGAAGGTGGTAGTTATCGGACGCTGCGGGGCATACTCATTTTTCCAAAATGCCTTAGATTTTGCTTTTGTGTTCGATGCTCTGTATTCTATAGCCAGCCCTTAGCCAGAGGGGGCCCCACTAATGATCAGTGCCCTAACCCTCAAAAGTTTCCAACGTTAATTTTTACTTATTTAATAGTGAATACTGAAATAAAGCGGATACTGAACTGTGAACATCCAGTTTTTACACTGGCCCCACACAAGCCTCCGAATGCCCAAAGCAGATCTCTGATGACTGGCCTTTGGGTGTCATACCGTGCATTGGTCAATGTGGTCGATGTGTACGACCTCGGCGTTTACCATTTTACTTGCACTGGAAACTGCTGCGTTCGAAAAAATCAGGGGAGTGGCTTATTACGAGCGCTCATCAGTCCTAAGTACCCGCAAGCGAATGGATAGCCCTTCCGTCTCCGCTCGCTTGCGATTTGGCATTCATGTAGGTACAAAATAGCGGCAAACGACCACTGAGGGTGTGAGTTGCGTCTCTTGCACACTTAAAATATCTCTAAATCGAATCTGAAAAGACAAAAAATGCTATAAAGCGGAAATGGTTAGCATTTACTCATATTCAAAAGGCACCGTTGGACAAACTGTAGGAGCGCATAGCTGCAATATCAGGCTATGGAAATTTTCCTCATGTTTAGGGCACAAATTATGGAGGGGCAAGAACATACGTTTGCCCCTCCTCCAAAAGTTTCTTAGGGAACGATGCCTCCTCTGCCGCTCAGTATCTGTCGCCCCTGTAAGCGGTCACTGAAGGCCTGGGTTGCCGCTGCGTCACTTTGACGCTTATAATGTCTCCAAAACTAGGTTGAAGAGAGGAAAACTTGAATTGAACGCGAACACTTGTCATTTAAGAAAGGCAACGTATGATAAAATGATAAAATATATGGGCATCTGGTTACATCTTCAGATGATCGAACAGAATAATCAGGTATATGTTTCTTGTCTGAGTTTTGTCAAAAATTATGGGGGGGGGGCAAAAAGATACTTTTGCCCCCCCCACGAGTTTGCCAGGGGGGGCAGCTGCCCCCCATCCCCCCCCCCCGAATCCGCCGCCCCTGCCTCCCTGCAAAAACCGGGCAATTTTCCGTCCAAACGGCGACACGGCGGCCGGCCTGCGTTTGCCGACGCTTCGGTTCACCATTCAGTCGCTAATGACACTCACTCTGTGACGTCAGAAGCACGCCGATGGATTCAATTACGTGTATGAGACGCGCCGCTGTTCGCCATCGATTTCCATTTCCTCGGAGACATTGCAGATCCATCCAGTGACCATTTACCGGCGGTGACTCGTCGGTCCTCAGACACACTGAGCGGTCCTTTGTGAGGCACAGCTACCACTGTAGGACGACAGAGGACAGCCCGTAGCTCCCATTGTACGGCGAGGCCGGTCCTCAGCTCCCCGGTAGAAAGATAAGCAGTGAAGCACCTGTGGCTAGGCTGTGCCTCCCGGACGGCGTTCCACGCTGCCTCACACGAACCTCACCCGAGGAGATAAACATCTCCCACCAACCCGTCAAAAGACTGGCCTGCTCACTGGACCTGTCTAATCTTTCCCTCAGCGGCCTGAAATTCCAGAGCTGCCAACCACCGCAGGAACATTCTCCACATAGCAGACTTTTGTATATACCTGGCTGCCAAGATTGGAATTCAGCGCAGGTCGGGAAAGTGTAACAGGCCTGGGAGGCCGGCTGTGCGCTGCACACATTCCGGAGCAGGCCGCGGAGAGCGAGGAACGTCTGCGTCGCTCCGCACCAGCGCCGCCGCGTGGGTCATATGACACAGTAATATCGCGATGGGGATCACAGCTCTGCAACTTCCAGTGCAACATTTCCTAGCTTTGCACCTGCCGGTGCGGTCCCGGCGGTGTGTACGACCGGTCCCCAGTATATGCCACCGGTCTGTAGCGCACAGCCAGCCGGGACAAGTGTTGTTACTTTGCAGCTGCTGCTGATCCGCTCAGCTCGGCGGGAGGGAGCGAGGCGACCGGGGAGGGTCGCGGAGGATGAAGACACCTTCACCCTACCGTCACCCCAGCGTCACCCTACCGTCACCACGCCAGTCGCCACGCCGCACCATGCCACATTCGGCTCCCAGCATCTCCCAGCGGCGGTTATAGATAGCTGACCATACCCCACCCCATCCCCGAGGTGAGGGTATGATCAGAGCCTCCGCTCGTGGCACCGCCGCATGGCTCCCGTCTCTTCCGGTCAGTCGACATCCGTCCTATCGCCGCCACATCCCGTATAACCAGCATCCCCCGACTCTGCGGTCGTCACGATCCAAAGAGCAGTGGATAACTATCCCGGTTCGACTCTCATCTATCCTAGCTGCACGCTCTTTATACCAGTTATTTCACGAGAGCGGGCCGTTCTCCGGACACCTGGACACAGGTGCAATATGGTAGGGTATCAGAAAGATGGGATCGTTTAAAATAACTAACGAAATGAGAAAGTTTGTCTCCAGAGACTCGCGCTTTCAGGCTTCCAAGGCAACTAATTTTAATCACACTGATGCGCATCGATCCATTAAATGGAACCGCCAATGCCCGCCCAGCAAAACGAATGCTGATTTACGGAAGGGTTTCGAATTTCAGCGAGAACTTTAGCGGATTGCTTCATGACGGACAGGAAAGGTGAACTCCGTCAGAGGATGAGAAGCTATGGGTAACCGTTTTTATACCTTTCTCATCCCTCCCTCCACCTGCCACTTTACACTGTATCCAACTTAATCAGCGCCCCTGTGTCTGGAATCCGCGCCAGCTGTCTGTTATTATCATGTGACCCCACCGGACGCCAGCTCAACCCTTCGCCCACGTCCGTTGTGGTGAATCCACCTGTAGTAGATCTGTAGATAAGTGAATCACTTCCCTTCTGTCCACCAATTCCGGGCGCTTCCCCTCACGGTCACAGTACCGTGATTGCAGTGACGTTTATGTGGCCGACTGTGGGAAATATTTAACAAATTCATGCCGCGGGACTTTTGAAAATGAATGAAAGCCTGCAGTGGTCTGCAAACATGCACTGTCACACGTAGTCTTGAATATTTGAGGAGTGGAGACCGCCAACAGTATCATTAGACACCGTCGTGTGATGTAAATTAAATCACGAACGTTACACCTCTCATGTTGTAACATAACAACCACATGATGTTCAGGTGAGTGTGCACAGAAGATAAACGTGTCATCGATTCCGCTGTTGGATGCATGGTGACTCACTATCTAAGTAACTGTAAACATCATATTGAACAGATAACCAGGCACTCCACCGGCCATACCGCATCAACTTTCAATGCAATTGTACTACTGTGAGGCACGGGGTGTGCACTATATGTGAATGAAATGTCACATATGATCGGTTTGAGACTGAAGTACTCACGCATAGACGAGACCGATGAGGTGGACGCCCCAGTAGCCGGTCCAGAGCACCAGCACGGGCAGACAGAGCGCCAGCAGCAGGCTGTCGGCCCAGTGGCGCTCGTAGCTGTAGTAGGAGAACATGACCGGCGGCGAGCCGGGGGCTGCGGGGACGGCCGACGCGACTCAGCCGGCACGTCATCGGCGTGCGCCGCCCGCCGCGCCGCACACCGGACACATCATGCACGCGCGCGCCGCACCGAACACACAGCACTCCTCACTGAGCCGGGGGACGCCCCTAGCGCCGGTCACCGTCCTCACGACCTTGTTCTGTCGGTTCTCGCAAGCTGTGCCTGTTAACCACAGTCCTCACGGGCTCCTCCCGTCGGGCACCGTCCTCACGCGGCAGGCTCTCACAGCACTGTCAGCGGACGCTCCTCACGGCAGGCCGTCCCTAACGATGTGCTCTAGCGATACGGGCGTGACTCCCGCTCGGTGTCGCTCGGTCTAGTGGCTGCGCACCTGTGAAAGAGGGGGAATAGCAAGTCAGGTGACCGTACACAGGTGTTCGGTGCCTCCCAGCCACAGTGACACATACAGGCCCGTCAAATGGCCACCCAGCGTCACACATGACCGACAGAGCCGGCTGAAACTGGTCACCGAACAGCTGGTGATGACTAGCCCACCAACATGAACGTCAAACAAGTCACTTTGAACAGCTCCCATGAGGCCACGCGGTGACCCGGCTTAAGCATAGTCGTTTATACGTCTGTGAGCATGTCAGTTCGACAGCTGCATCTGAGACGGGCACTGCCGGCACACCGTGTTCCCCAGTGTGACCGGCTCGGTAACCAATCTATTCGAGCCCTAACCGTTTATAGGTTGGCCCTAACTGAAAAATAGCCAGCACCCAAACAGGCGTCCTCGCCAGCCGTCGAGGGTTACCTCAGTGTGTCGTTCTTCGGTCAGCACACCTATCGCCCAGGTTTGGTATCCTTAATAGCCGTCCAGGGGAGGTTAACCAGCACCAGACAGGTCCCTACCTCGGACTGATTTCTTCTGATACGTCCGACCTTCTGCTGGTGATCATCGCTAAATGAGCAACAGGCGGGCCAATCCAACCGTACCTGACGGCGGAATAAGCATAAAATGGCCGAATATAGCGTTTGATCCAATGCAGAAGCGAAACCCTCGACAGAAAAGGTGGATACAGATGGCTGCAGAAACTCGAACGGAACGGGAGTCGGCCGGGAATTTGTACGCGCCTGGTGTGAGGCAGCTTAGATCCCCGGAGGCTCGCCGCCGAGCCCACAGCAATTTTACACCCCACTAATGTATGCGGCCGCCTCGTTAGCATTATTCAGATGACGTGTGAGGCTGCCGCCCGCCCAGCGCGTGTTAAGTTTCTCCGCAAAGAGCGCGGCTTGGGACGTCTGTCGCGCCAGCTGAGAAGCTCAGGTGGCGAGTCAAACCCCACCGGGGCTGAGACACTTCGGAAACAGTCCTGTGCGCTAGCGAGAAGAGGCCGCGGAAAATATAGCAGCAGAAATTTACAACGAGATCCCATGCGAGATCACGCTGTGCTGCTCGTCAAACGTCAAAGCGGACCGGTAAAGAGTTTACTTGATATGATATGCGCAATGGACGTCACATCGCAAATCGCACTGTGACAGGTTGGACGCTGACCTACTCGTGTAGTGTCCGCAGCCCGCACGACACGCATTATCAGATTACCACGGTGCACCATTGCGTCACAGGTATATCGAGCGGGGGCCTGCCGCCCGCAGGTGTCTCCTCGGGCCGCGTATAGGCCCGTCTGGCAAACAAACACCCACACACACACACGCATATGTGTGTGGGGCGACATCAAAGGAGCCCCGAGGATAGCCAAAATAGAACGAAAAAATAGGGCCACGCACTCGGTCTGTCGTCGGCGGGGGTTTTAAGCAAATAAAGTGCATCAACCCGACGAAGTTAAATTGTAGGTACCTACAATTGACATCTGCAATTCGGTCCGATAAACATTGTTTTCCCGAAAACTTTCATAGGTATAACTACTTGGTAGTTGGTTGAATGGAATTATCTTCACTTGAGGGAAGGAGAGGACAGAGCATTGACAGAATTGTTTGACAAAGCAGAGGCCATCTCCAGAAATTGGCACATGGAGGAGGGTCAGGGAGGGCCTGGTAATCTTATTAATTAAAAGAAGGGGTGAGCTGGAGGAAGAAATCTATCGCAACTGACAGAAGGCGCGGTCGATTAGTCAGCAGACATTGCAGATAGAATGAGGCGACCCGTTGCAGTGCGCCTGCAGCAGGGACCGCAGCCACGGACACCTGCCCGCCCTGCGGCGGCTGGCGGCAGTCCAGGTCTGGCCGGCCCCTCCCAGTCCGAGGCCGGCACCGCCAGCCCGTCTGTGTACTCGCGTAAGTGCATCGCTCCCCGGAGCGAACACAATACCCACTCAAAGCCGCGCCAGCCTCTCCGACAATCGCGCCCAGTGTAACCGCCCGACGTCGGAAAAAGATGGGGAGTGGCGGACAAGCATAGCACAAATATTAGCCCGCCAGCACAAACTTTGTGATTTGTCTGCCAGCACAAGCCTACAAGATTGTGGGTCGAAACGCCAGTGGAATAACTAAAAGAAAAGCCATCTCCTCCCCGACTATCAACGTGGTAATAACTAATAACCATAAATCGTGATGGCTAAAAATCGCGGACAATCGCTAATTCGTATTCATTGCCATGATGAACGAGCACCAACCGGTCTGGCCACGGGCGTCACAGCTCCCGATGATAAATTCATAATGTGTTGGTGCAAGGTCGCCAGGAGCCGCACCCCTTCCAGCCGGGAGGGGTGGGAGAGGGGGTCGGAGGGGGAGTCACGTTTGCTGCCGCGTCCACCTCGCCTTCCCACGGCTGCTAGGCGCCCATTGGCCGCGCGCCGGTCGGCCGGCCGGCCGTTCTCACGTGCAGAATGCATCACGTCGATCCGGGCGGGGCGGCCGCCGCCGGTCAGCGCCCACGTCGGACCTTGTCCTTGGCGGCGGCAGTGGCGGCGGCGGCCCGACCCGCTGACCTTGAGATGGGCGCGGATCGCACGGCCCGCCGACCCTCTGCACCGGGCCTAGACCGGCCCCGCGCACCGGCCGACACCGGCCCCGCACCGCTCCGCACCGCCCCATACAACAGCTCGTCACGTCCAAGCCGTCCACTAGCGCAAAGGCGCTGCATGTGGATCAGGGACCTTGACTTCGAGTGGTATATCGCCTACTCTGTTGGCCGGCCGCGCAGCAGGAGGAATTCATTCTACAGTAGCTATATACAGACAGACAAATTCAGTTTGGCAGAAGTAGAGGAAGGGAGGCGAGGCTAGCCTTTCTGATGAAATGCTGCTGTCGTCAGAAAATTCCAGTCACGAATCTGGAAAACATGTAGAGATGCAGTCAGTATCAGGCAAGACGAGCGAGCAACAGCTCCGAGCAGACTGAGAAGTGACCTGTGGGAGAGTGTGAGGAGCGGTTCGAGTGCCAACTGAGGCCGGGAACAGGACTGGAAACCTGCTGACGGACATAAAAACTTGGCAGGCCGGAGACAATAACTTCAGCTCGTCTCTCAAGGGCAAGGTTACGATATAACGACGTCAGAGGCTGAGGCACGAGTGTGGAGACCAAACAGCCGGCCATAATCCCGGACAATGAAACTCGTTATCACTTCACGCCGTGTGGGCGCGTGTCCGCTCAGCACAGTCGGCTATCGAACGGAACTGAGTTCGCCGGACATCCGGTACGTCAGTGGAGACTCTCCAGTCTCCACTCTCTCCAGTCTCCACTGGAGAGAGTCGACGGGGATGGCCGCTTGAGGCGAGCCCGTATACAGCGCCGATCATATTATGGTTCAGCCTGACCGGCAACCTCCTTTTCCCAGTGCTTCGGCTTGTAACCAGTCTGAGGTATGCTGAGCTGAAGCCACCTTTCCTGCCGGACTGCTCAGTTCCTTTCCAACACCAGGGAAGCAAGTGGATGATCTATCTTCGAGAAGAGTTCGGCCGACGGCCTTATCACATTGACCAACTCCGAATATCTGTTCTGGAGGAAAGCATGACTTACTGCCTCGAAAAACGACCTTCTGACAAATACAAATTGCAGCGCGCTGCAATTTTCCCGCGGGAAAAAAACTTCATGTAGGTTGTGTTATCGCCAAGAAGCGTTCATCAAATATTGCATAGCTCAGATCCTGGATCCAAATGTCTACCTATCATATCACACACGCGTGACGCACGTTTTTCCGACCAACTCCTCGCTGTCCTTATTTTCCTCCAATTTGGCTCATCACACAAAAGCGTCGTATCAGCCATAATTGGGCCACGGTGCGTGAGCAATGCGGATCAATTTGTCGCCGGCGCCACAACGCCACCAAAAACAACTGTCACAGTCGTCACCGTCGCCGCCGCGATAGTTATTGACGATGTTGGTGGTAACACTGGTTCTGAGCAACCCCCAGGAGGAGGAAGGGGAGGGGTAACGTCACGCGGCCCACAGACTCACGGGCGGTTACCTGTCACGGGCAACATACGCAGACCACTAAACGTTGTATCACCACAGAGTGTATCGCTGACGCACAACGAATTCGGTGGCCGGCGGGAAGGAAGCGGTGATTCAGCTCGAAACGCGTACATCAGCTGACTGATAAACCAGTGACGTCACAGTCACCGGACCGCCGACAGTCAGCAGACTGATGACGTCAGTGTGGGCCACCGATAGCATTCATCCGCGCGAGGTTTCACCCCAGCTCGTGACCCCGCGCAGTGGGTGACGCACTGTGATTTGTAACGTCACACAGTTCGCTCGATGACGTCACACAGTTCACCCGATGAGGTCACACAGGTGACTGAGAGCGGCGATACCACCCTCCCATGCAATTTGGCATCAGCTCAGCGGGGGTGGCGAATTGTGACGCAGCGTGGGTGACTGCACTTTCATACGAAGAAATGTATGCTATACAACGCGCGACTGTGCCTGGAATAAGGAAGTGAACTGCCGTCGCTCGAAGAATGACGTAGTTGAAGTGGGCCGAAGCGGAGCGTAGAGGGAGGGACTTACTGAACGGGACGAGACCCGGAATTAATGCCCGGTGGGAGTGTTCCGGACCGAGCCAGGTCACTCCGGTCCGGTTCGGTGGGCTGGCTCCTGGCACACCGCCACCACTATTCGATAGATGATCTGGACCCCTCCCTGCCCATACCGTCCCGTTGGCGGAGAGTGACCCCACCCCGTCCCCCCGTCCCCCTTCAGAGGTCAACCTCCATTCCATTATCCGCGGTAACAAAGCGACACGGTACAGCACGGACATCGAAGGCTGCTGTTTGTTACTACCAACAACTATCCTTTTCACCTGTAGGCTGTATAGTACATGATCAAATTGCGGGCCGGGAGCTCTGGTGTATGCCACAGCACTCTATCGCGACACACAACACCGAGGTCATGCGGGACTTGGGGCTACAATGCCACCAGTGCTATTAT